TCCAGACAAGTTGAAGCGGTACAAGAAGGTGATTGGTTATGTACCTCAAGACGACATCGTGCTGCCGGAGCTCACGGTATACGAAAACATTGTTCATAGCGCAAAGATCCGCTTGCCTCAGACTTGGTCAACGGCTGACATTGAGTCTCATGTCGATTCTGTCATTGACTGCTTGGAACTCTCCCACGTACGCAACTCTTTAGTCGGTTCAGTCGCTGTACCTGTCATTAGTGGCGGGCAACGCAAACGTGTCAGTATCGGTATGGAACTGGCTTCTGCACCAATGGCGATCTTCCTGGACGAGCCGACGAGCGGTCTCGATGCAACTGCAGCTTCATCTTTAATGCGGACTTTGAAGGCAGTTGCGCGGCTGGGAATCACCGTAATCGTCATCATCCATCAACCACGAACCGAAATCTTTGAGAATTTCGATAACCTCATTCTCCTCGGCAATGGCCAGACTATCTACGAAGGTCCCCAAGCTGAAGTGCAGGACTATTTCGAGGGGCTCGGCTTCGGGTTCCCAAAGCACAGTAATCACGGCGACGTGGTCACCGATATTATTACTGGGAACGGTCGCGATTACAAGCAAATCGGGGAGATTTCCAAAGACTCGCTCATTTCAAAGTGGTCAGATCACCGCCAGTCTCTCGCGCACAAGGAACGTCACGCTTCCTCCATCATGAGCAACAACGGCATCTACGCCGCTATCAAACATCGCGGTGCACCGTTGTACAGACAGGCATGGCTCTGCCTCCGCCGGGCCATGCTTCAGCAGTACCGCACCAAAGCAGCTTTTTGGGCTGAGATGGGTCTCGCGGCGCTCGCTGGATTCCTCCTGGGCCTTGCCGAGCACTCGAAAAAGGGCATCTTGTTTACTGGCACTTTCAAAGAGCCGTACTCGATCTTGTCAACTGCTGTAGACTTCAAGTCCGCCCCTGAACTTGCTCTATTGGTCTCCATTGCTGTGGGTCTAGTGTCTGGTGCACCTGGCGTGAAGACTTTCTCAGAAGAACTGCTCGTGCATCGGAGGGAGGCCGAAGCGGGACACAACAGACTAGCATATTTTCTTGCCAAGGTCGTCTCGGTCCTTCCCCGTATGCTCTTTGGATGTCTTCATTTCACAACGTTCTTGTTCATTCTTACGGTACCGGTGATCAACTGGGGGCTTGCTTTCCTCACAAACTTCTTCTACTTTTACTGCATTTACGGGCTGGCCAGTATCGTCAGCATGCTTGTCCGGCGAGAAGATGCCCCCCTGTTTGCGACAATGATTAGTCTTATCGTTGCAATCTTGTCTGGTGCTGCTCCTCCACTAGCTAAAGTCAAGGAGTGGCACTTGGAATGGCTTTGGCGCGCTTCACCCGGTGTCTGGTTAGCAGAGATCTACTTTGGCCAGCTAGTCTCGCCTTTTGGGTACTTGTATGATGTCGAGTCTGCTGCAGCGGCGACTGGCTTCCATTTGAATTGGTTATGGCGCAACATGGGAGTTTTGGTTGGTATTGGAACTATCTACAGAGTGGTTGCATTCCTTGCGATGATTTTCGGGCAAAGCCGGCGTAGATAGATTGGTACATAGACCTGTTCAATCCAAGAGTACGGAGACTGATGGTCTTCATTATCACTATCCGCCACATCTACTCCGACGTCTGTTTACATGCATGCATCCTGGATAGAATGTCAAGCTTAGGGATATGGCAGATGAGATCATCATGGCCTGCCTGGACATGCGAAGTGATTGCTCTTGTGCAAAAGATGACGATTGTAGGATCTGCGAACGATAGGATGCAGATATTAAAGCACATTGGTATTTCTGCCTGTGCGAACCTTCAGTGTCGAACATATCTTCAGACAAGCTCAAGGTCAATCCTGATGACGATCTACGAAGGAGCCTGCTGATGTCTGCCAAGAGCTAGAAATTTTGAGGAGCATCATGCTAATCCGAAGCAAAGAACTGTGATCTATTAATCGAGAGCGGCTCTGTCACGCAAAGAGAAACAGTGTGGGAGGTGAGAAAGTCCACAGAACGAGGGGCCATATGTTGGGAACAAGGGACAAGCGCGATTTGCCCGCGATTTTCTGCCTGGGCAGAATTTACTGTCGTGAATCTCCACACTAATCTTGCTAGGCTGATGTCTGATGGAACATTGGCTGTCAACAACCCAGTGAAGACCAGGCCATTGGGTGACTTTGGTGCGGGATGCCAGGCAAGGCCGCGACAGCCATATCAACTATCACGGCGCTGTGTCTGCACTTAGGCAAGAAGAGACTTCCTCGACATGTAGAACGCCCTGCTGACAGTGTGCAGTCAGATTTCAGTAGAGGCCAAGGTAGATGACTGACCAGATGCTGTTGCGGGTACTCGCCTCTTTGGCTTCTTCATCTCCCGCTGGCGACATAGAACCGTGCCAAGGAGCGGTTCGACATGCCAGTCGCACTTAGAGGATGTCTAATAGGTACATGGTGGCAGCAGGCTTTTCAGTGTATCATCCCGGCGCTGTCTACGTGACGTATTGGAGCGAGACCGGTCTGCCAAGAGCCAACCTTCCGACCTCTCTCTGAATCCATGACTTGCCTGCATAGAAACAAGTATGTAAGCCCAAGGAATCAGCTAAAACTAAGTGGTCAGGCCTTCCCCAGTTTCCAGAGAACGTTCGTATATATGGCCACACTTGGTCTCGCTTGGTCCAAACTCTCTCTAGGTCACCATCCAGAAGTTTCTGATTCCATCTCATTCCCATTCCTTTACGCACCTACCTCTTTCTCGGAATCGATATCCCTCGCTTTCACACCTATCTTATCTCAACATCATGTCGGTTGACCCAGAGTTCAGCAATTCCAGCGAGATGCGGTTACAGAGGGGGAATACGGACACGTCGTACACCTACGATGGCCAAAAAAGCTGGAGGCGATGGAGAATCCTTAGTCCAGGCCGTGGAATTTACCACGACATCAGAAGACGGCTTCCATACTACTGGAGCGACATTGCTGACGCGTGGACGTACCGCACTGTAGCCAGTACTATTCGCATGTATTTCGTGAAGTTAGTAGGCACACTGATCAGGATTATAGTTCAAACATTCGCCGAAATATGTGCTGACAACCAAATGAATGCCTTTAGTCTCCTCCCCGCGATAGCCTACACCCTCGACATGTACCGACGAACAGGACAGTTCTTTGGTACCAACGAAGCCCTTTTATCGTCGGCGCTCGCTGCCATTGTCTTCAGCATCCTCAGCGCCCAGCCCTTGACGATCGTTGGCGTCACCGGTTTGATCTCGCTCTTCAATTTGACAATCTACGACATCATCAAGATCTACGACGTCTCCATCTACCCACAGTTCATGGCTTGGACGGGAATCTGGGCAGCAATGTTCCATTGGCTCGTCGCCGTGTTCAACGCGTGTGACTACATGCGATACGTTACCGACTTTTCTAGCGAGGCATTTGGATTATACGTTGGCATCATCTACATCAGTCTGTGGGCTCAATTTAAAGTAATAGTTGCAGAACGTCCTGCTGACAAAGATACAGTCAAGGGTGTGGAAGAACTGGTGAACGAGTTCGATGCTGAAGGCAGCGCTGCGGGTTACTTAGCTTGTATGATTGCGATTCTATACTTCGGCACTGTCTACAGTTTGGAGAAGATGGGCTCCAGCACTCTTTGGACGTCTGTTTACCGAGAAATTCTCGCTGACTACGCCTATGTGGTGAGATTCCTACTTGCTACCAATGAATAGGAACGGATGTTGATAGTTCTCGCAGTTCGCCACCATCTTTTGGGTTGGTTTCTCTCACATCCCGGGAACTCTCAAAGCAACGCATATCATGAGGGTCCCTGTTGTCGACGCCTTCCAACCGACTCAGCCTAGGAGCTGGATCCTCGACTTTTGGAACCTTGACGCAAAGTGGGTTTTTGTAGCTATGCCTTTCGGTTTTCTAGTAATGCTGCTTTTCTACTACGATCATGTAAGTGTTTCTTTCACCTTCGGGGTGCATGCGTATTCGAGAGAACTGGCTAAATCTTCCCAGAATGTCAGCAGTATTACCGCTCAAGCACGCCATTATCCCTTGAAGAAGCCAGGAGGTTTCCACTGGGACTTTTTTCTACTCGGCTGCACGACGTTCATCGCAGGCATCTTGGGCTTGCCGATGCCTAATGGACTCGTCCCTCAGGCCCCAGTTCATACCGATTCCTTGACAGTCTACGAGACGAAGCTCCAATTTCTACCGACTTACGAAGGAGGCGATACAGAAATCCGACGGCCTGTGGTTGTTGCTACACAAGTGGTCGAGCAGAGGATTTCTCACTTGTTGATGGGCCTCGCTCTGATAGGCACCATGACGAGTCCCCTTCTGGTGGTGATCCATACCATGCCAGCTGCTGCCTTTGCTGGCGTCTTCTTTGTCGTTGGTGTAGGTTATCGATCCGGTCCCTTGGTGTGAATGAATAGTTGACTGATAAAAACAATCTTCCAGTGGGGCTCAATCGAATCGAACAGCATCCTTCAGAAATTCCTCTATCTTCAAGCGGAAGAACGCTTCATACAACGAGATGAATTACTTCTCCAAGTCCGCCGCCGAAAGGTCTGGTTGTACATAGCCATACAATTCTTAGCTGTTATAGCTTGCGTTGCTATTTCTCATACGCTGGGTGCCATCGGCTTCCCGGTACTGATCATCTTGCTCATCCCGATGAGAGTCTTGCTGGTACCAAGGTGGTTTCTCCGAAAAGAGTTACAGATACTGGATGACTTCACGGCTACAAACGAGATGGTACTAGCAAGTTTGGGAGGCAAGCCCGGACTTCCTGAACGTTCTCTTGAAGAAGATTAGGGACTTGAGAGGAGAGTCAGCCAGGGGAAGCATGGAGTTGCCAGAAAAAGAGCTAGAAGTCTGCATCGATAGACTACAGATATAGGGCATGAAAAGTCTCGACCCGAACGACCCTAGACGTGTACTTGACTAAAAACCTATAGTGCAATACCAGGTTTGCTACCTTACTCATGGCTAGCGAGGATCTCAATCATCCTCCTGAAGTCAGGTACCTCATCAACCCAATGTTTCAAGAGGTTCACTACGTCCTCGACACTAGCTTTCCAGTCGTGTGGAAGCTTGTCATGCAGCCCTCCATACGCGGCAGCGATCAAGACAAGCGCGCTCCGTGTGCATGACTGCAGCATCAACCACGTCCCATGATGTCGATGAAAGAATCCTGTCTTGTTGATATTTATCCTCCGCACGCAAAAGTCGAGACCTCGTGAAGCCAGCATGTGGGAGTCCCTGTCGTCTCCGAGTCGGCCATGCACAGCGGCGTAGATATAAGGCCAGTACATGAGTTCCAAGCAGTCTATCAGATGGCCACTGAGGATAAATCTTAGCTGGCCGTTCTCGTCAAAGTCGAAAGTAACGTCGCTGGAATCGTCTATCGCCGGCCGGAGACTCGGTGGAAGAGACCTGGCCCTACGAAGCAGAGACACCATGTTAGTTCTGCAAGGGGCACCAAGGTCGGAACACGAATGCTTACCAGCTGTGGGCTTGGCGCTCGAACTCTAAGGTCATTGCCACCTTATCCGCAACATTGCCAGTGTCCTGACTATCCAAACATGTAGTCGATAGTATGCGGTTGTTAAGCCGCCTCAGTGCTATTTCAGCTAGGTAAAAATACCAGGCAGGCTCTCCTTGAGTTTGTATGGACTCTGGAGGGTCGGGAAAGAGGTCTGGATAGCGTAGATCCCATGCACTCGTCTTGATAATTCCTAACTCCAACCGAACCTCGCTGTTTATCACTTAGTACGTCGTTTGGAAACGAGAGTAAAAAGACCCACAGCTCAGACTTGAAGCATGCCCAGTGGATGGTCTGCTGCAAGCGTATAGCTCCAGGGCTGGCATCGCGACAAGATAGTTGGAAAGTGTGGCAGCTCGACAAAGCCCGCGTGAACATTTTCCAGGCATCAGCCGGTCGCATCGTAGTCATCAAATACACGCCAGCCAAGAAGAAGCATTGGGCTTCTGCAATACCGCTACTGGATAGTAGCAAACCCATCCGCCTCTGCGCTGCAACAAAAAACGCTTCGGCACGGCTGAAGTTTTCGTTTTGTCGGACGGACAAAGATGTATGTGCATGGATGTTATCATGGTCCACTGTTGTTCCCAGGGCCAGTATGAGCAGCTGTAAATCTGTCAGATATCGGTTTATGGATAGCAGAAGTTTACAGTGACGAAGGACGGCTTACGACAAGACATGACGCAGCATCCCAACCGAACCCATTGAGAGATGTGCTCTTGACATGTTCTTCAATCGTCGGTATATCCAAAACTGGATTGAATATGTGATAAATAGACAAGAAAATGCCGAGGAGTCTGGAAGCGTCCTGAACGTCCACGTCTGACACGAGAAGAGGGCGTGACACCGAGTCGATCTCCGGAGGGATAGCCGGAGGCGAATCTTGTGATGAATAATGTAGGTCGGCGGCTTTCCAGACTGGCCAGTTGAGTATTACTTCGCAATTAACGTAACGGACCTCGAAGGAGTTGATCCAATCGATATCGGTGGTTGGAAATGGCGACGAAGAAAGCGATGAAGCAAAGTCTAAGCACGGCTGAGGAGCAGCAGGTAGCGGACGGCTGCCTTTTACCACGCTTTCCAATTCATCTAATCTTCGTAAGATAGCGAGACTGGCTGCATCGAAACTGCAATCATGATATTGTTGGCCAGAACAGATGTAGAGGGGAAACGAGCATATGAGAAAGGAATTGCTGCCCATGGACGGGACAAATGCCGGGGAGAAAATCAAGGGGGCAGAGAAAAGCACACACCTAGCCTTTTCGAATTCGTGGTAGACGCAATTTATCCCCAGCTTCTTGCAAGAATTGCAGGCTGGCTTTTCGTTGTCACACTTTGTCCGTCGTTGACGACATGTCAGACAGGCCTGGACAGCTCGTTTCCGCGGATACGCAGGTCTCTTGCGAGAGCTGGCACGGGTTTCTGCGTGTGAATTGGACATGATCGACGAGGGGCAGTACGTTCGCGGAGTGTAGGATAACAATGCGCGAGAAATGAAGAGGAGCGCTGCACTGTCACAGTGGATTTGCTACCAGCCCAAGCGTTTGGTTCGTTCCGCGGAAAGCCGGAATTGATCAGCCTTTTCGGGGGATCGACTCTCCGTGATGCAAGATTACTCAACACCAACTCAGCCCTGGGTGCAGGAGACTACGGAAATATGACCGAAATTTTGTTGGGGAACATGCTAGTCACTGCAGTTTACAAGAACTTCGAATGCGTGTTTAAAAACAGCCATGCACAATGGTGCGTGTAAGTCGCAATGAGTAGGTAGTCACCTGATGTCCGCGAGCTGATGATTATTCTCTACCTTGTCATTTCGTAAAGATTCTGTGCATAGAACTCTACTACACGGAAAAGCGCCAACACCATTGACAGCATCGATCATGACTATCTCCTATGCTCCAAAGGAAGTAGCCGTTTTTGACGTGGAAGACGTGTTGGAGAAATTAACCGTTCAAGAAAAGATTGATCTACTTGCTGGTATGAGTTCATGGAATCTCAAGGGAAAGGAGAAGTAGGAACTTTGCTGACTATACCTGCAGGTATCGACTTCTGGCACACCAAGAGCATTCCCCGTCTTGGGGTCCCCTCAGTCAGACTCTCCGATGGCCCCAATGGAGTCCGAGGTACACGATTTTTCAATGGTGTGCCGGCAGCTTGCTTCCCCTGCGGCACTGGTCTAGCAGCAACTTGGGATGCCGGTCTGCTTCGGGAAGCCGGAACGCTCATGGGTCTCGAAGCAAGAACCAAGGGGGCGCACATCCTCCTAGGTCCCACGGTCAACATGCAAAGAAGTCCACTGGGAGGCAGAGGATTTGAATCGTTCTCAGAAGACCCAGTTCTTGCAGGCCAAAGTGCCGCTGCAGTTGTCGCCGGCATTCAGAGCACAGGAGTCCAGGCTGCTATCAAGCACTTTGTGGGAAATGACCAGGAGCACGAGCGAATGGCCGTTGATTCTCGCATCACAGACAGGGCTCTTCGGGAAATCTACTTGCTGCCTTTCCAGATTGCTGTGCGAGATGCCAACCCAGCGTCCTTCATGACGGCTTACAATAAGGTCAATGGACTGCATGTGAGTGAAGACCCCAGTATCCTCCAGAGCATTTTGCGTGATCAATGGAAATGGAAAGGCCTTATCATGAGCGACTGGTGAGCACTCAGAATATACAAATAGAAGAGTGGCCGCGAACTGATTACACCGCTCAAGGTATGGCACATACTCTACAATCGAAGCCATCGAAGCTGGTCTCGACCTGGAGCTGCCTGGACCCACGCGTTGGCGCGGCCAGCTGGTGAAGCACGCTCTGGCATCCAGAAGACTCCTTCCCGAGATCGTCGATGAAAGGGTCCGCGCTGTCCTTAAAGCCGTTCGCCGTGCAGCCTTGACGGGGATCCCAGAAGGGGCAGAGGAGAACGGCCGAGATCTTCCAGAGACCTCAGCTCTCCTTCGAAAGATTGCGGGAAACTCAATCGTACTGCTGAAAAACGAGAACTCTACTCTGCCTTTCAGGAAAGAAAAAACTGTCAGTTCATCACCGGTTTGCTCTTGATAAATTCAAGCTCTCGATAAATTCAAGCTCTCTAATACTTGACAGGTTCTCGTCATCGGACCAAATGCCAAAGCAGCGGTCTACTGTGGTGGTGGATCAGCCACTTTGAGACCTTACTACGCAGTAACGCCCTTCGATGCTATTTACGAGCAAGCAAAGCATGTAGTGTACTCTGTCGGGTGTTATGCTCACAAGATGCTGCCGATTCTTGGCCCGCGATTGAAAACCGTAGACGGCCAGGTCGGAGTCACCTTCAGGGCTTACACCGCACCTGAAACTGATAGCGATCGTCAACCAGTTGATATGCTGCATCTAGTTGATACGAACATGTACTTTGCCGATTACTACCACCCCGACATAACAGAAGACCTATGGTGGGGAGAGATTGAGGCCTCGTTCACTGCTGAGGAGACGGGCGATTTCGAGTTCGGTCTCACTGTTCACGGAACTGCCAATCTTTATATTGACGGAGAGCTCGTGATCGACAACGAGACTGTCCAAAGAGGTGGTGGGAGCTTCTTCAACGTCGGTACCGTGGAGGAAACGGGTACCAAGGCATTGGTCGCCGGGCAGACGTACAATATCACGGTCAAATTCGCCAGTGGCGCAGCATCCAAGGTCAAAGACGCCGATGGTGTGGTTTCCTTTGGCGGCGGCGGTGTTCGCATTGGTGGTGTCGAAGTCCGCGACGCAGATGAGGAGATTCATCGCGCAGCAGAGCTGGCAAAGTCGGTGGACCAAGTCGTCATTTGCGTCGGTCTCAATGCGGACTTTGAGCAAGAGGGTCATGACCGCCCGCACATGGACTTGCCTGGAAGAACAGATGACTTAGTTGCCGCTGTCGCTGCTGCCAATCCAACTACCACAGTCGTGGTCCAGTCAGGAACGCCCGTGACTATGCCATGGGCTGATTCTGTATCGGCAATTATCCAGGCATGGTACGGCGGAAACGAGACGGGTAACTCCGTTGCCGATGTCCTATTTGGAAACGTCAACCCATCGGGCAAGTTGCCCCTATCATTCCCGGTCAGGGTTGAGGACAACCCGGCTTTTCTCAACTACCGATCGGATCAAAGGCGAGTCCTTTACGGCGAGGATGTCTTTGTTGGGTATCGCTACTACGAGGCAGTCAAGAGATCTGTTCTCTATCCCTTTGGATGGGGACTATCTTACACGTCCTTCAGCGTTGACAGCCTCCAGGTTTCTCACGGAGTCAAGGACGGTGACGAAAAGATTATAGTGCGAGTTGGGTTGAACAACATTGGGAAGGTTGATGGTTCCGAAGTTGTGCAGGTCTACGTTTCACCACAACACCCCTCAGTTACACGCCCCAAAAAGGAGCTTAAGGGATTCTCTAAGACGTATGTTAAGGCGGGACAGTCCGCTCAGGTAGAAGTCATCCTGAGCAAGAAATATGCTCTCAGCTTTTGGGACGAACCGCGAAAGCAGTGGGCGGTGGAGGCTGGAAACTTTGACATACTTGTTGGCACCAGCAGCCTTGAGACGCCTCTCGCGGCGATGATGAAGGTTGAGAGGACTAGCTGGTGGTCAGGTATTTGAACATCGAAAAGCTTCTTATGCGCTACACGATAGACAATAGAATCGATTCGAATGGAATGAGTAGATTTGTAGGTCCGGAATACATAAGAAAAATGGTACCTTTTCGCATGTGGCAGAATCGCGATGTGTTCTTCCGTGGCGTGTTGGGGAGAAATTGGTCAATGTGTTCGATCAACATGGAAGCTCGCTCAAGAGGGCACCGAGCTGGTGCATGGCACGGTGTTTTGAACCCCCCACCATTCTATAAGATACTAAATTTCGCAATTTAAATGAGTGCATACCCCCTCAACTTCCTCTAGGGTCATCCACTGGAATGACTCCCAAGACTCAACTCCCTCGTAACCACAATCACCAACAGCAAGATCACTACACACCATTGTGATATCATGGATCCCGAATTGCTCAGCACGCCCTGGATCTGGCACCCCGAGTGGCAAGACCACGGCGCAAACACTGCTGGTGGCATCGTCCACTTCCGCAAGCGCCTGAAGCTGGAAGAAGTTCCGCATGGGCCGTCGAGAATCCAGATTACAGCGGACACGAAATACAAGCTATTCGTCAACGGTCGACACGTCTTTTCGGGCCCCGTCAAAGGGGATGAACATCTCTGGTTCTATGACGAGATCGACATTCAACCATTCTTGAAGGCCGGGGTGAATCGTATCTCAGTCAGGGTCCTGCGCTTCTTTCACGGCACGCAGTACGCCACAAGTTTCCCACGACTACCCATTCCCGGACTTTTTGTTCGATCCCTGGCGGCAAATGATGGGTTCGTATTGCCTGTCCGCAGTGATAGCTCTTGGGAAGCTTCTATAGACCGTGCCACGGTGCTTCGCATCGACCAGAAAGAAGACGATTTCCTCCACATTTACGAAGACGTGGACGCAAGGAGATCGTCGGAGCTCGATTGGGTCTCGGCGAAACAATTGGAACTGCCGACATCACACGGCATCACTCCGCCGTGGGTGCTCTCGCCGCGGATGATACCAAAACCAACAACCGCCACCCAAGTACTTGCAGCTGTTCACAATGTCGAAAGTTCTATCAGCCAGGCTTCGTGGGAGAGCTTCCTCAAAGATGGTGCGAGCACGCTCCGACTGCCCGCGGGCACACATCACCACATCGAGGTTGAGGCAAAAGTTCACTTGACAGCAATGCTCGCGTTTCGTTTCAGACGATCCAAAACCTCGGGATCAACTTTACGAGTTCGTTATTCTGAGGCATATGAAGAGGAACCAGAGTACGTTCCCTACATTCGCCGCAAAGGCGATAGGAGAGACACGACCAAGTCCTTGTTCGGGCCTGAAGACAAATACATTTTTGCTGGCTCTTCAGGGGCTCACGCCAGCTCCGAGATCGCCTACGGTCTAGATGCGGCGGAGTTTGAGACCTTCTCGCCTTTTCATTTTCGAACCTTACGCTTCATGGCCATCAACATCCAGGTAGACCCGAAGAGCGATCTAGAATTTGTAGGAATTCTTATCGACCAAGTGCATTATCCTTTGGACATTAAGAGCGAACTCACACTTCTGTCGACCGATGATCACCAGAGGACTTATCAGCGACTCTGGGAGAACAGCGCACGCACGTTGACCAACTGTATGCATGACTGCTACGAGGACTGTCCCTTTTATGAGCAGCTTCAATACGCCATGGATGTTCGCAGTTCCTGTCTGTTCACGTACGTCGTGTCAGGCGACGATCGAATGGCTCGACAAGCTATCGTTCAACTTCATAACTCGTATCGTCCGAGTATTGGGCTCATCGCAAGTCGCAGTCCTGCTCATGTCTCTCAAGTTATCCCTCACTTCTCGCTCTTCTGGATCTGCACGGTAGCTGATCACTTCACATATTACGGCGACGGAGACTTCACTCGAAGATTCCTGGCCGTATGCGACGGTATACTTTCGTCCTTCGCTCAGCGCTTGAATGCCGAAACTGGACTCATATCAAGTGACTGCCAGTCAGTCAGGACGCATTGGGACTTTGTCGACTGGACAACGCAATGGAGACCTATGGGCATACCGCCGGCTGCCGAGAGGACGGGCACTCAGACATTTACCAACTTTCTATACGCCTACACGCTCAAGACCATTGCAGAGACTGTTAAGGACCTCGGTCGACCGACCCTCGCCCAGGAGTATAGGTCACGAGCAGACGGTATCATTTTGGCCACACAGAAGCACTGTCGCGTGGGGGCAGTATTTACAGACGGAACGGCAGCCAGAGCTGACCATTCGCTGGATTTTAGTCAACATAATCAGATCTGGGCTGTTCTTTGTGGCGCGACTAGTGGTGAGGAGGCAAGACAACTCCTTACTTATTGCTTCGATCATGGCCCGATTGCGTCGGAACTCCCTACTGCTTCGGGACAACCCGTCACCTTCACCAAAATTTCAACGGCGATGTCATTCTACGCTCTCCGGGCCTTGTCCGAAGTTGGCGGAGACCTCTACGACAAGGCTTTCCACTCTTTCTGGGATCCCTGGCGGCATCAGCTGAGCAAGAACCTCACAACTTGGTGCGAGGACGAGGTAACGCTCAGATCCGACTGTCATGCATGGAGCGCGGTGCCCCTCTACGAGTTCACGACTGAGGTTGCCGGAATTAAACCACTCGAGCCTGGATGGCGAGCCATCTCTTGCGCTCCTCGATTCAACCTCTTCAGCGAGTTTGACGCCAAGGTGGCGCTTGGTGGAGAACTAGCGCCTGGTATTGCTCGCGTCAGATGGTCCCGAGAGATTGGTACTGATGACCTGAGTTTGTCGGTTGTTCTACAAGACATTCCAGTCGAAGATTCGATTCGAGTAAGTGTAGAGCTTCCGAGTGGTGTTGAGGAGCATTTTGGTCGGGATCTTAAGTTCAACTTGCAACTAAAGTAGAGTATCGTACCAAGTTACACTAAGCATACAAGCATCTTGCTGTTCACTTACTGCCCGCGAGCCTCATGAGATCGTAACTAAGATTCCGCGACGGCACATGTCTGCCACTTGTTGATTTACCCAAATCCAGGGGCAAGGCAATCCTACGTGATTCATAAAATCGACAAACTAGAGTCAGAATCGGGAAAAACTGAAGGCAAGCGCGAGGTCGAGCTAAGTTAGCGGGAGGATACGAGACGAATGCATTGTCCCGGCTTTCCGCGTGAGCTCCACCTGTTCCACGCCCCGCGTATTCTTGAGAGTCTCGACTCCGGCTTTCCGCGGCCGAATCTGTTCTTTCAACTGGCCTCTAGCCTAAGAATCCAGCTTTGAACTGGATAAGAAATAGTTTTGAGACTGAGCGAACATCTCGGTCACCTACCGGGTCACGATTTTCGACGGCCTGGGTCCGGAACGCCCCCCAGTCCCCCCGCGAATCACCCCATACCCCGGATCCCAAGAATCTTTGCAGGGGCGCTAAGTTGAGCGTGTCCGAGGGAAACACCTCATCGGTATTCTGCTCATTCTTCACCATCACGCGACGATTTGTAGCTTGCTTCCATGACTGCCGGTTAACTTTTCTATAAAACTCTGTTCAAACGCTGATCTCACTTGTATCGGTCTCCGTTCATTACATCTCTAGAGCCTTTTGCAGCTTTCGCCAACTCGAACAAACACTCTCAAACCAACAACACTCACAAAGTCGTTCATAATCCAGTAGAATCAACATGGGACCCGGCAGCAATGTCGAAGCTTCGTTCGTCACCACTATGCCAGAGGGCGCGGTAGACCCGAAAATATGGTGGAAGTCCAAGAATCTTCGTACTCTGAATTTGCTTCTTGCATTTCCAATGCTGTCCATCTTCACCCAAGGGTATGAGCACGCTATTTCGGACCCTCGGTGGCATCGTATGCTTAAAAAAGACGTCTAGTTTTGACGGGTCCATGATGAACGGCCTGCAGTCGGTCGAGAACTGGCGAAACTACTTTGGAGAACCCAAAGGTTCCACCCTTGGTCTCTTCAACGCTGCCTATCCTATCGGAGGTCTCTGCGCTATCCCGTTTCTCTCTTTCGTCAGCGATAGATTTGGTCGTAAGATTGGTCTGGCATGCGGTGCAACTCTATGCATCATCGGCTCCTCAGTCCAAGCCTCAGCTCAGAACCTCGCCATGTTCGTCGTCGCTCGTGGTATTCTCGGATGCGGCACCGTATTTCTTGGAGCTTCAGGCGCCCCGTTGATCACAGAGATTGCCCACCCGGCACACAGGGCCACCGCAACCGCGCTATTCAACACCTCATACTCTCTCGGTGCCATTGTGGCGGCATGGACAACCTTTGCGAGCTTTCGCATCGATTCGACATGGTCGTGGCGCATTCCATCAGCCATCCAGGGTCTTCCATCTATCATCCAGCTTCTGGGTTTGTATTTCGTTCCGGAGAGTCCGCGTTGGCTCGCTTCTAAGGATCGCAACGAGGAGACTTTGGCTTTCTTGGCTAAGTACCATGCCGAAGGTGACGAACATGACGCGCTTGTCCAGTTTGAATATGAAGAAATCCAGAGCACTCTCGCATACGAGCGTACAATCGACCGAGGCAGCTGGATCCAGAATTACCTCGAGCTCATCAGGATGCCTGGAAACCGCAAGCGACTATTTATCATTCTCTGGACTTCGTGTATAGCCCAGATGAGTGGTAACGCCTTCGTCTCGTACTACTTGAGCAGCATTCTATCTTCCGTGGGGTTAAAGTCTTCCATGGAACAGACGCTCATCAATGCCACCCAACAGATCCTCTCTTGGCTTTCTGCGCTGTACTTTGCGACACTTCCTGGCAAACTTGGTCGCAAAACACTGTTCATCAGCTCCCTGTCCGCCGTTTTTGTCTGCCTGATTTGCATCACGGCTGGCAGTGCCGTCTTTGCAAACAACGAGTCAAATAAGGCCGCTGGTGGAGCAGTCGTTGCGTTTCTCTACCTCTTTTCTCCTGCCTACAACCTGGGTCTCAATGGCAACTTGGTATTGTACATCACCGAGATTCTTCCTTACAGCCTCCGTATGCGCGGTACAGCTTGTTTCCAGCTGTTCTCCACATGCTTCTCTCTCATTTCAACCTACGTTGTCCCCATTGGTCTTGACAAATTGGCTTGGAAATTCTACACCATCTTCATCCCTTGGGTTCTTATCGAGATTATCGTCTTGTGGTTTGTTTACCCAGAGACCAAGGGCCCTTCTTTGGAAGAAATTGCTCTCCTTTTTGACGGACCGACCATGGATACGACAACAACCATTGGAAAGGATGGCGTTAAACATGTCGAGATTGGTTTTGCGGAGGGTACGGAGAAGGTCTAAGCGACAACGTTGGGCTGAGTGGATGTGTAGAGTTTTGTAGTTCATGCAGTCACGGAGAACGAAGAACCTGGCTCGATAATACTGTATTACATTTGTATCCTACAGTCACATTTTGAGGTGATAAAGTTGTAATTCCTATAAATCTCTTTGAGTCCAAGGCTGCTGCTGTGACTTAAATTCTCGCAGATTCTCTACAATAATTTATTCCCTATCGACCTTTCTCCCAGCCCGTGACGCTGTTATGCCTCTACTTCCTTTTGTTCGGGAATCGTCTTGAGATGGCTCCACTCAGCGAGGACCTGGTGATCACTAATCACCCATCACCCAAATGGTGAAAAATTCATCCGTGTCTCGGCTGTATCACTAATCTCTATGTTCCTCAGACTGGCCCTTTGGTGCATGAATTTGAAGAAATAAGCTTGGGAATAAGGTAGTTCAGATTCAATTTTAATTGACGTCCAGTAAAATTTCAGAAGGCCTCGTGGTACAAGATTCAGGCGAGTAGATCCTCAAACCTTAATGTAAGGTAGTCAAGATTCCCGCATCATATCATGTGTCCACTTTTGAACCCCTGAAAAGCTTTATGTTCATCGGACCGCCTAGTAGAAAGATGAAGCAAGACAAGATAATTACCAGTCTCTGCCGCCTTCAGCTCTTCTGACCCCACCCGGCCTGGATGACTTCTTTGACAGTTCGCGCCTTGATACCTGGAAACAACTGATTGAGAGTTGTTCCCGGCTCCAGATGATACAGCCCTTCTTCAAACCAGATACCAAAGGTGGCGAAAAGTGCCTGAAGTTGATCTTTTGGCATCACACCGTACAGGGATGGATGAGATGGCAACTCGGTGATCTTCCCAGATTTGAGAAAGTCGATATCGTCGTAGGTAACTTCAAACTTGACGCCTAAAGAAAGAGTGTGTAAGCAATTTTAGATGACCATGAGAAAGCATCATTGATAGTTCACTTGTTTACCTTTGACCTCCTCCGCGATTCGCAGAAACTCGTTCCAAGTCACATTCTCGCCGATAACATAGCTCTCCCTTTCCCACTTGGGGAGCCCTAAGCTTGCTACCACAAATTCCGCGACATCTAAGGTATGCGTGAAGGTAACGGGGGTATCACCTTTGCCAGGAATGGCGGCCCGGTTGTTCTCGATGTCGACGACGATAATATTTTGTATCTGGTATGTTTTAACCCGTGGGTATCCCCAAAAGTCTAGGAAGTAGCCGACGTAATACAAAGTGTACTCCAGAGAGGAATTTTCGAGGTCTTCCACTGCATCGAGCTTCGATTGACCGATAGTCATCTGCCTCTCGGTTACTTGACTAGAAGACCTTTGTCAAACATGCTGTCCTCAAGGTCGGGATTTCTTTCGGGGGAGTGGTAGCAAACACGAGATAGATATATATGACTTACTCTCTTGAGTATGGAATTCCCCACACGCTTGGAATAAATCTCCTCGTATGGACGCAGGCTTCGGCGGCACGTATCATGTTCACCTGAGGAGAGCCATCTGAAGTCACGAACAGGGTTGAGATTACTGTGTCGACTTCGTTGTCGTCGAAGACCTTTGTTAACTCTGAGACGCTGTTGTAGTCAACTTGAATGACCTCAATGCCCGTCTCCTCGTGAAGGGCCGGATTGGCCTGAATCAACTTAGCATCTAACCCATTCCCCGAGCTTGGCCGATAGTAGTAAAAGCTTACAGATCTGCTCAGTATCTTAACGCGGTAGCCACCCTTGCGATTGATAGCCTCAGCAATAGCTCGACCGATCCCACGAGTTCCTCCTGCGACGACGATGGTACTCATGATAATAGTTAGTATTTCCGAAGTTGAATGAAGTTAATCGAAGCTAAGCATAGAGCTTGAATCACTTATTGGGCGAACTCAGATCTTGAGGGCTTTGCCCTTATATAAACTTGAACCAGTTCAAGACAAGAATCGGGCAGCTATCTATCCGACGGGCCTTTCATCAATCCGTAATCCTTGTTCATTCTTTTGATCGACTATTAAGGGTTGCCGCCCACCTTGCTGGCTGCTGCGCTCGATCTTACCAAGAAGTCAATCCCGGACAGATTTCGGCCGAAAACTCCACGCCTCCTTGCGAACGCCACACCTGTTCACGCAGTCTAGTTTCAGATACTGCGTCCCCGCTCATTGTCAGGAGCTTTGAAAGCTGCCTTTGTTTGTTCAATTTGACTCCAGTCAATATCTGAAAATACACGACTAGCGTAGCATATTCTGGGAAGATTCCTACGAGAACCGGTGCCCGGCGCTGTCAGAGTCTACGGTGAGGGGTAAAATATAAAGAGACTTGAGGTTACTAGTAGCGTGAAAAGAAGAGCGGAAAAGTTATTGGTTCTATCTGGGGTCACCTCCAACAAGTTGACTTAAGCCCCAAAATACAGACAGATGTTGATCAGTTGCTCAGCACAGCACACGTCTAGCACGGGCTCACTTCTCTTCTCTAAAGAGTCCTTGATGCTGGAATTCGACAGCCTGGCTGATCATGTTGACGAACTGCTGAGCTCCGTCCTCAGCAAAGAATACCTCCTCACTCATGATGCAGCGCTTGATAAAGTCTTGAGCGCGGCCAAACATTTCCGTTTCGTACTCTTTGATGGCTTCCTCAAGTTTAGATGCGCGCTGCGCTTTCTCAGTGAGAACAGCAACCCCGTGCTTGACGATGCTCTCGGCGAGCTTGAGGGCGTCATACATGGCCATGTTGACCCCTTCACCTACGAATGGTGTCGACACATGCGCGGCGTCGCCAAGAAGAGTTATACCTGGAACACGATCCCAGTTGACGGAGGATACGGGCATGCGGTAAAGATGCCAGGGCCGAAAAGGACCTTCGGCGTTGGAAATGAAGTTTTGTAGTTCGGGAGCAAAATCCGCAAAGAACTGTGGCGAAGAAAGAAGCTTTTGTCGTGTGGTCTCTGTATCAGCCATATCGAGTGTGGTCTTTGTCAGGTTCTCCGGGGCCACCAAGCCCACGTAGACTCGATACGACCGATCGGACACCTGTTGCACCGAGACTGTTCGTCCGTTTCCCAAAGCCATCATATTGCCGGTTCCTGACAGTTCCAGTGCGGCAGAGTAACTTGGGTTGTTGTGCGACAGCCGACCCTCGATGAACATCTTCCCAGAGTATTCAGGCCGTGCCGTAGTGAGCTACGTGATGTTAGAGAGCTGATATTACAAGAGCGATATGGCATACGCAAAATTTACTCACCAAAGGCCTAACTTTGCTCCACGCACCGTCAGCGCCAACAATGAGCTGGAACCCGGATGCAGAGGTGCCGTTCGTGAATTTGATAACCCAATCCGAGCCTGAGCCCTTCTCAATTGTCCTGACACCATGCCCCCATCGCACCTTATGAGATGGAATTGAGTCCAACAGAAGTTGACGCAATTGGAAACGGTCAATCTCAGGAGCGTCGCGATCCTGACCGAACTCGGCTTTCATTGTGCACGTTGAGTCCTGAACAACAAACTTCGTAGCATCCCACCGCGCGAGTTTACTGAACCTTTCGAAGAGTCCTGCACTTCTGAGCGCCTGCTGTCCGGAGGGGCCATGAAGATCAAGGGTTCCACCCTGGTACATCGGCGTGGGAGTCGAGTCGACGTCTTTCTCAAAGACCACAAAGTCTATGTTGTTCTTCTCCAGTAAGCGTGCGAATGTCAGACCGCAGGGTCCAGCACCAATAATTGCGATGGAGGCTGAATTTCGGGCCATATCTTGGGTATCTGGCGTCCTTCGCGTGTTTGGTGATATGTCGCCTTGATACATGGATTCCATCTAGTGTTTACTGGTGATGACTACGATATAGCGTGTTCGATAAAGTTGCATTGGATTGCGAACGATCTTAGTCTGAGTTGTGCTAGAAGGAGCAGTGTGTCCACTTTGATTCCGGCAGAACACGAGCTCAAGAGACGAAGAAGACTAGTTTTTCCCTTCATCTTATACTCTTCCATTGTTTCAAGTGCCACAAGCTATATTCCCATCCAGCATTCAAGCTGAGCTGAGCTACTGGTTTACTTAGTCGGACCTTCGCTTTACTCACGGATATCGTGATTTCTCCGGGTTGGATGCGCCAAAAGCAAACAGTGTCTAACGCTCCCGATGTGATTGGTTGACCCCGGAGGTATTCCGGAGGATTATTGCCATGGAAGATTGGGCAAGGCGGACATTGTCCGAAATTCTGCTCGTTGATTGGCTGAAGTCGGAGTGTCAGCATCATACCTTGTTCGGGAAATAAGTTCACTGTTAGCGACCATCCCTCACCACTTCTATCGTACTTGTCAGCACCACCACAATTCATGAGAAGGTTATCATTACTGATCAGTCGACTCGTTCTCCGCTTTCAAATTTCATTGGATGAATCCTACTTGTTACGGGATTCATAGCCGCGTCCCTTTCAAGACCGATTACGATGAACTCAAGTAACAATCCTGTGCAAGGCACTCAGGTGGCTCGTTTTGCAGTGAGCCTCCAAAATACCGATCCATCGTCATCGGTGGCTTCTCACTGACAGCCTCGACATCTTCTAGTGTGATTATTGCCGGCAGAAGAAGTTCAGGTACTTCTATTACTAGTCCGACTTATTGCTAGCAACATGTTCCGAAGAGATGAAAACTTTGTGTCTAGACTAACAGACAAAGGTGCTCCAGGGAACTGCCAAAGTGCAGTGCATGCCTTCCATGGCCTGGGCCTTGCAACTATTCTCGCGATCGCCTTAAGTCTGCCCCAACTCAAAGCCAGCCTAGTTCGGTGCCAACCCAAGGACAACCAGGAACTCAGAGCAACGAGCCAACGCCTCAGCCAGCAGTCACACAAATTGATCTCACGGTAGAATCTCGACTTTGCAGCATAGAACACAAACTTGACCGCTTAGCTTCGTTGGTGGAAAAGGCTGTCTTGCGAGCTGCATCCGAGAAGGAATCGGAAAGCGATGCTCAGACGCCGTCGCGGGCCAACCAGACGAGCAGCCAAACCGATTCTCGGGTTCCGAAGCTGTTCATTGGCGAGTCTCATTCTTTCTCTTTTGTTAGAGAGGCAACTGAAAACCTCCGGTCCACGCCTGGAATACCTGGTCCTTCGTCTCGGCAAGAGGCGGACGCTCAGTCTGAGCTCCAGTTTCTATCAACGTCCCTGACTACCGCGACACTTGAGCCCGGGCATAACTCACATATGTCAGGGCTCCATGTACCTTCCAGAGCCGTAGGCTACAAGCTTATTGGAAGTAAGTCTTAGGTCCTTGATCCCACGACCGGGCCGTGTGCTGATAGACATTGACGTTTCTAGCCTTTTTAGAACACGCGCCAAAAGGCGAGCCATTCTTTGTCACACCTTCAGAGGAGCTTCTGAAGCAGATAGTCTTCAATCCTGATAAAGTCTCTCAGAAGGCTTGGTTGGTCTATTTCAACTACATTATGTTAGCTCAAGTTTCTCCAGAGAAACAAAACCATGGAGAAGAAGCTGCGAGATTTCGCCAGAACATGCGGATCGCCTTGAACGACAGCCGCATATTCTTGGAACCACGACAAGTTAATGTCCAAGCATTAGCTCTGCTGGCTGTTCATGGCGAGGACTACGCCTCTCCGAACTTGTCGTGGATGCTGGTCGGCCATGCTTGTCGCCAAGCAGAGGCTCTCGGCTTACATTTGCCAACGCCTAGAGATGTTGAAACCTATCAGCGAAGTCTCTCGATGTTTTGGCTTCTTTTCGTATTGGATAAGTCGTGTGCCCTTGCATTTGGTCGATCCCCGTTCCTTCCGATGAAACTCTACCAAGAGGTTCCATTGCCTGATTTCAGCTATCTGCTCAAGTTCCAACCACATCTCGATTCGGATTTCAGCAGTGCACCACCGGCTGCTCGTCCGTCTGAGTTTGGAGCACACTTCTTCATCAGGGGTATTGAGTTAGCCAGGATCATGGGCTCAGTCGTCGATACGCTGGCCCCAGGTTCTTCGCCACCCTCGAGGGAGACTATCAAGCTGCAGCTCGAAGAATGGTCCAATCAAACGAAAAAGGTACGTCAATGAAAGGATGAAATTACATCCGCGTCGAATCACTTCCTTCCACTTACGCTGTGCAAATTACAGATTTTGGATAAAATAATGGACGCAGATAGGCCCCTCCTTGAGCCGACTCAGTTGAAGGAAATGTCCTTGGGCCTCAATAGTCTGAGATTCCAGTACCTCCATGTCGTGATTGTTCTTCTCAAAGGGAACAAGCCTTCCTCCAATCAACGTTTAGAGTGCGCAAGAGAGGCTCTATTCATACTACCTTCAATTGTCTCTAATTGGTCTTCCGTTTATAACGGAGTTGTTTGGTAAGACTTTTTCAGCGGATCTCGAACCTACGTTCATGATCCCTTCTAACAAAGGCAACAGGCATCTATTGTACTATCCTTTCATACCATTCTTCGTCGTGTTCGAGAACCTAGTCCAGAGCTCCACGTTCCAAGCCTCAGCGACAATCGACCATGACCTTGGTCTCCTTGCTACAACTGTTTCCTATTTTTCGAGCATGAGAGATCAGATGCAGCTTCTCGCGGTTTTATGCTCTCGTTTGGAGAATGTAGCGTTTGTGTTCCTCGAACTAGCTCGGAGACACATACGACATCGCCATGCAACCATTAACAAAACCCTTGATTCCTCATGGCTCCCACTACATAGTCGGGCTGAAACGAATGTCGAGGAAGTGGCAGCAGGAGATAGCCTCCCCGGCCTCTCACAAGGCACTCTTGATGACTTCACTTTGGGGGATGGGCTAGACATCGGAAATTTCCTCGACTGGCTGCCGGCTGACATTTTCGCATCTGGGCCATCTCTGGGGCTTGAATCGCGACAGATTCTCGGATCTGCAAGCAGCGGCCCTGGAGTTTCATCCACAGCCGATTTGCGAGGTCGAAAAAGACCGTTTGATGCGACATTCGATTGGTTTTCGTGGGACGCATATTACGCCGACATGCATTTTCATTAGGTGATTAATCTTTTGTCAAATTTCCATGATCATCACACAGTATATTAAGGGGCCTAGAATGACTCCTTCTACTTTAATTGAATCTTGTAGTTAGTCTCAACTAATATTGCGCTGGAGGAAACCGACCATTCTCCTACTGAAATAGCCTGATAAATCTAAAAACACCCTCATGGCTCGAGTACACCCTTCTCCAACACAAAATCAGCCTTTGGCGGCGTGATATACTCAATCTCTCGATTTTGTTCAAAATGAACGCTTCCATACCGCAGCAACTCTGCAAAAGTTCCAGGTTCACGGTCCCTGTTCTCATTCTCTTTCATGTCCCACAAAGTCCCCAATGCGTTGGTTGCGGTCATGCCTGCGGCGTGGGTGACCTTCTGCATAGTCGATGTAGTCAAGATCGTCCATACGACGTTATAAGCCTTCTTGTATTCTTCAGACTCTGGATCGGCATCCAATCGGACTGAGAAGAGGTCGAAGAGGTCCTCACCATTCCAACCGATGATGGCTTCTGCCGGCCAGTCTTCGTACAGCGAGTCGTGGAGAAGGATTTTCTTGTCGAAGTAATCGACGCCATCAAAGCCGCCGTTAGGCTCTTTAACCGCAGCAACTCTGATCCAGCACACGATTTGAGCAATGTACTCCAGTACCTTTGGGAGAGGAGCGCTCCAATTCCATTTGAAGTTCCGAGCTTCGACTGCATCGGCGTTCATGTCTTGTGCGAAGGAGACGAGAGGGTTTTCGAAAATGCCATCGGAGCTGTTGCGGCCCTTCCAAATCTCCATGAAAACATCGTGCCTTGATAGCGAATTAGCTCTCCCCCTCAAACAAAGTCACAGTCGTGCCTTATTGTTGAGCTCCGATACTGATTCGCACTTACCAGTGTTTGATGAACATGTCACCTTTGCGACTTGCAATGAAATGGTTGGCTACGACGTTCGAGTACATCCAAGGGGCGGAAACCTGGTAAGGGCTGTTTGGGTCCTCAAGTTTCTTCCAGCAGAGATAGTCTATAGACCGAACGAGGATGGTGCCCACATCCACCCAAGCACCGCCATATTGGTAAAGACAAATACCGCGAAGGAAGTCTGCACTGTGGGGACCAGTCCGCACACGGGGCCCATCCATCTTGTGTGCAATATAGGCCTCGGGTAGTTGGTCTTCCTTGACCCAGTTTAAGGCATTGTTTGGAGAGTCTGGGACGTCGTCCAAAACGCGAATCGCCCATTCCGGACCGCAGAGTCGAGCCCAGTTGATAATGTTGCGCTGGCCCCAGCTTGGAAGGTTGTCGAGGCCAGAATCCCAAAAGGCCCAGATGTTCTTTTCTGAAGTGACTGGCAGAGGACTTTTTAAAGATTTGAGAATCTTCTGATCGGAGCGCGAGTCGAGAGGTTCGACATGACGGAGTTTTGATTCGAACTCTGGCGGGATCTGGAACTTTGGTGAAGACATTGTGAAGTGTGAGTAACAAGAGACATGGAGCTTTGAAGGTCACAGTTCTTAGGCAATATTGAACGACTGATACTGAGGCGTCTTAAATACTTCTACTCCCGTTGGTTTGGACTGCTACTGTGTTGCACGGAGCAAGAACCGCAACCTGTAGCGCTTACATTGACGAGAAGCCATTGATGGATCTCCACTGTCCATCACATTTGGCGTTCGACGGAAAATCAATGCACCAATGACGTTCTCGGTATCTGACTGTAGCGCTGACAAAGATGAGATGCAGGACGTAGCCAAGTCTGACTGACAGGAAACGTGGACATTTCTGCACAAAGCAAATGGAGGTGAGAGCGAGTTTGTTTCCTGGATTGGTAGGATGACATAAGAGTCAATAATCGGTTGGTTGGCCCAGGATCCGGCCGACATTTGGGTTGTTTTGATTCGTGTATGGGTTGTGCGATGGCGGGTCTCACTGCGCCTGTTTACGACGTAAGCAGCTGTCACGAGATATGGATGTGGTTAATGCTGCCCACATTGAGAGCATGTATGGGTAATCTCTGAGCACACATCCATCGAATCGCCGACTTGATAAGTGATGACAAGAAAGCATTCAATGTGATCCATTCTAGATAAATGAAGTCTCCAAATCCTCATATCACACCAATCTAAAGCCATCAAATGGCGTTGATCTCGACATTTCTGCGTCCCATTTTCTCAAGGTTTGTTTTGCACGGAGCCCATCGATGATGTGGTTTCTCTGTACGCTTGAGGCAATACTGAGTCCCATGTCTCAACCTTCATGATCTAGACGGATGTTGCAAACAATATACTCGTAGAGATTGTACATCAGAAGATCACCTCCTGAGTCAGTGAATCTAGCGCTGAAGGACTTCTCACAATGCAGTGGGCCAATTGCCTTGTCCGTATCGATCCTTTTGGGCAGGTGAGATGCCGTCATTCACGGTAGCTCTCAAATTTTCGTACTCTGTTGACTCCAGATACCCAGCCCCAGTACGTCGGGGAGGATCGGTGTTAGCCACGAGTTCGTGGCTGAGGTAAGATACTGCCAAGCTCTCAACCCTGGCTCAAGCCGATCGATCACATTTTGGCGGTTCTCAACCGGGACGTTATGTAAATGTGCACACGAACTCCATGTCCCGATGGAATCGAGATCGCTTCATGTTGCGTGAGATAGTTCACTTTTCATTGAAGCAAGTGCGACTGTTCAACTAATGCGGATGCAATAGACCTAGGTATTGAACGTGGGCCAGGCAAACAGGGCTGAGCGACCTTCAAGAGGAGATTTTTAGGGAAATGAAAATTAAGGTTCTGTTGGCATTTGGGTGGCTTCAGTCAAGCCATCCGTTCGTATGGCTTTAGCTAAGGTGGGCTACTGGGACCACTGGCTCACTAGCTGGCTTCCTCACGCGTGCCCGAGAAGAGATCAACCCCTGCTCGCCTTGTGTATGCACGGCGGAGTAGATTAGGGGATACCCCTATGGAACATTCCCATTCTCTTTTCTGGTGGAGCGACTGCTAGGCTCTCGGCTCGATCATTGCTTCGCTTCATCCCGGAATGAAGATTGGAATCTCAATTTTCGAGAGGCGCATAGTATCGCCCGGATGTTACAGCATTGCTCTTCATGAGGACAAATCTCACCACTTCCCGCTTTGCCAATATAGCTGACGACTGTCATGATCGGAAACTAAACAGTGCCATAGCGTATTTTACCATAAGATCGTGTGCGACGCATCGCGCCTCACCAAGACATCGTGACTGCCTGAGGAGGAGACCCAAAACGGCGCTGCCGTTAGCAATTTCGGGCGCAGGGTCAAGGAATGGAAATCGTGCAGGTAGCCCGAGCTAAAATCGGCCCCATTTTCGCAGTGCCGCAGCTCCCAAAACAAATCTCGTAATGGCTTCTTTCAAGTCTCGGCGGTTAGCGGTGCGGCATGGAAATGACTTCATACAGAGATCTGCGAATGACGGTCTAGGAATGGTACGAGGGGCACAGTTGTACAGTCTTACACCCTGTCAGCCCAACAGGCCAGAGGATCTCCACCACAGGCAGCGACATTCGCTAGGCCCGCCCGAGATCGGGAACTTTGGTGTGCTGGTTGTCGAGAATAGGTGGTAAAAACTGTAAAAGACGCAAAGAAGCCAGGGATCTACGAGATGATCCGGGGCTATGCCAATTGGGGACGCACCAACAGGCGCTTGTTGTCAGCCGAGATCCCTGGCAGTCAGGATTCTCCTTGCTTTCGGCCCCATGAAACAGGCAACACAGGGCAATTCCAGCCACTTAGAGTATGTTTGGGGGAGCTGCTGGGCGTGTTGGACTATCTTAAGGTTACTTTGCAGGCCTGTAGAGTCTAATTAGGGCTGTGTCGCCAAGGACCAAGGCGACCAAAACAATAGGGGCTGTGGCGCGCCGGTCCAACGCAACTAAGACATTCCAACTGTAAGCGAGACGCAAGTGCGGCGCTGTTGGCCCAAGGGGTTTAATCCTTCGAACGCCGTGGTCATCGTCAAATTTTACTTAAGGCGCAAGAGTCTCTCACGACATTTGGCAATGCGTTATTGTTGTCATCGAATACCCTACGTCTAGAAACTGAAGACTGGTCTCGTGTTCACTTGACGATAATACACACAATCCTCCCGGCAATCGACCAGATACCTACAACACGTCAACTACGAACACCGATAAAATGACTCAAGCATACATCATCGGCGATAGCTCGCCGTTCCTCAAGCGCGTCTTGATTCCCTTCTGGGTCATTCGAATCGCGATCATGGTTCTTGAGATCGTTCTCTACGCCGGAACTATCGCCCTCGCGGCCTCTAATAAGGAGACTCTGAACGACTACGGCGACGACAACAGAACAGCAAGCTGGGTCATTGGTGTCCTCTGTGTCATTATGGTTATCATTCTTATCTGCTTGATTCTCGACATCGTCTGCATCGTCAAGCGCTCCCGACGCACGCTCAGCCCGAAATTCTTCCTCGTCTCCAACGTCATCCAAACTCTGGTCTGGGTCATTTTGTTCATCCTCACCATCATCGGTGCTGGCGGCGCATTTACCTTCATTATCGCAATCGTCATTCTGTAAGCAGCTTCCAACGAACTGACTCTTTTTTCCATTGAATGACAAATTAACCTCGATTCTGCAGCGCTTCCTTCGTTGGTCTCCTCATTTATGCTAGCGTCATCTACCACAAGTTCCGCAAGGGCACACTGCCCCGCGGGAACTACGCTCCCGCCAACCCAAGCACTGGTTACACTGGAGGGTACGCCTCCAACGAACCCAACAAGACCTACGACCCGAACGCAGCCCGTTATGAGATGGACCAGAGATACGCATAAATTGTTGGTGGAACGGTTTCGGTTAGCCTCGGCTAGTTTAGACACGGCATTTACGACTTGGTCATGTCCACAAGTCGATTGTATCAAAGAGGACTTGGTGGTGGTTCCTTCTGTTATAATGAGTAGAATGACTATAACTCGGGCTAAGATACCAGGCGTAAAGAAATGAATTTTATTGATTTTGCATACTACACCGGCCACAGGGTCATTGGCTCAACAAAGGCTAGCACACAGTTTCTTGCTCATACCTCCATCAATGAAGCTGTTAAAGTTGTGCAAATAGTCATAATTACGTTCTCGCAAGAGTCCAAAGCGCAATTTTATGGGAAACTGATCCGCCTTACATACTCGTTTCCCGCGAGCCTGAGCTTGATTCTCTATGCCTCAGGGCCTTCTTGGGCGATTTTGAAGTCACTGATGGGATGTTCGGACATGCTCGGTGCGCCTCCTTACATTCTGCTGGAACTTTTAGAGTTCCGAGCCTGAACGGCTCCGAAGGTGGACCCGGCGACACAGATCCACTGCGGACTTTTCGGGCCCCGGAACTCTCCCGGCATTCGCCCGACATCAACTAGTACCTTTGAATCCACATGAGTCTGTTCTTAGATTGAAATGATTGAATCATTTGACTTAGAACGTAGGTGGCAAAGGCTGGCCACGAGTCTGCAGCCACTCCTGACAAGATTTTCTCCAATTCATCTGGATCTTTGGGTACATCTGTTAAGTTCATGCTGCCAGACTCCGTGACTAGAAGGTCATCTTCGATACTAGGAGGCAGTTTCAACATCGCGAGGCTCTATTGGGACTTGTTGAGAACTCACCTTACGCCCCCAACATTCCAATATCGGTTCAATACCTTTTCGTTAATAAACTTTGAGAGTCTTCTATCACGGAGAAGAGGCCGAATCACATGTTCGTTAAAGCGTATCTAGTTGTGTTAGCTTCAGAGAAAGGAAACTTCGTAGTTCTGTGAGAAATCGGGAGTTGGGAATGGAACTCACGCTTGGTTCCACCGTGACAATGCATCCCGCAGGTAGAAGTCTTCTAATTCTCAAGTACTTGAACATAGGATCGAGATTGTCATCAGTCATGTCGCATTGACCTCCGGTATCATGTGTGTCCATGCCCAGAAAATGGCCAAGTCCGTGGGGCATGAAAGCAGTGCTGATTCTTTCTCTCAGAATCTCATCCTTGTCCCCTTTCAAGATCCCAAAGGCTAGGAGACCATCAATCGCAACTTTGTGTGCCAATACATGCAGATCATCCCATAACACCCCTTCCTTCAATTCTGCAATGCATTGTTCTTGCATGTTCAGCACGATATCATAGATCGCGCGTGATTCGCGGGTAAATCTGCCAGAGATAGGAAGAGTTCGAGTCTGTCTTGTGTTAGTCGGATTCAGGAGAAAGGTAAGGAAGACAAGCTCACAATGTCGGCGCCATAGCAGTTCCACTCAGCTCCAGCGTCCACTACGACCACATCCTTAGGCTTGCCACTTTGATAGAGGTTTTGATTGTTGCTCTCGTAGTGCGTCGTTGCCGCTGTGCGCCCGAGCTTGCTTGCGACCGCTCACAGCCAATATGCAATCGCTGCCAGAGAGCACGAACTAAGCTCAACTGCATATACCCGTCAAAACCGCAACTGGAGACACATACGCCGGATTTAGCTGCCGACCTCGGTATTGAGACCGGTCCCAGCCTCGGACAGGAAGCAGTAGCAAATACCACGTCAAACTCTACTCCTTCGGGCTATTTCGGCTACACAAGTCATAATAAAGTTTTTGAAGAGACTGAGTTTGACCTTTTCCTAGCCAGTGGAGGCACTTCGCTTTTGGACCCCAACAAAAGGCTCGCACAGAGTCACGAAGAAAGTCACGAAGAAAGTCACGAAGAAAGTCACGAAGAAAGTCACGAAGAGAGTCACGATAGAGTCATCTTTCGTGAGCTACCGTCACCTTGCCAAGAATTGGCTCTATTCGTGCGACGTCGTCTGCCTAGCTTGCAGGCGTACTCTCATGAACCCTTCCATGAGCAAAAGGGATGGAGCCATATTGCTGTTAATCGGATCATCAAATCACTCCAAGCTGCATTTGAAACGTCGCCTCATCCAGTGTGTCTTGGACCACCATCTGAATGAAAACGACTGGAAACAAGACGCAAGAAGTCAGAGTATCTTGGAATCGAGGCCACTGCAGTTACCTGCTTTTCGCTTTGCCTTATTAAACACATTCGACTGGTTCATTCCAAGTCCATTAGGATCAAATAACAGGTAACAAAAGTTATCAAATATGTAAGAATCGTTAGCTGATTAGCCAACGAATTCTCACTACTTCAGTAAGTACCCTGGTGCTGTTTACAGAATGCTGCCTTTCTGCTGAAAGCTCTTGCGATTACGTGAATTTGACCGCCAATCACGTTGGGTAGGGAACCCATGTTGTTTCAATTTTGAACAATGCGGAAGGTTCGTATCCTTAATTTAATGTAGCGCCGCCTGGAGATGGGCAAGGCACGGTACCTTGAGATTCGAACAGGTTAATCTCAAATGCTTCAGAATAGTTATTATACTCCATTCTACCTGACGACTAACGGATGGCAGAAAAATCGGGATTGACGCGAAAGCTAGCAGTTCACTCTGATAAACAACCTTCTGTTTGGAGCTGGACTCATGTTCTCGAAGAAAAACTGAAGCCTACGTTCAGAGCTTCGAGGCCATGAAGCGGTAGTAGGCCAAGCAGTTCCAGTCGGCAGAGTACTGGCCGCCAGATAACGCTATCCACTCCTCACCTACAGCCAATATATGTTAGCATTCGTGTCTCGTCAAGTTCATCATAGGAACAGCCATACCCTTTCTCACAATCCTATCGAGATTGCCCTTGGACGATGTCGTAGTACCGCCGTAATCGATTCTTTGATGAGGGTAGATTTAGTACATATCTTCGTATCCCTCTACCGAAATGTATCTTGGAGGAAATCTTACCGCTGCATTCTCTTGACTTCGTCCCAGTCGTGTCTAGTCTGAGTCCATGTGTTGGGATTGTCTGCCAGACGCCTGACGTGGAGATAGCTGGCCTTGAACTTCTTCTGGAAGACAGCAGTCTTTCCAATGATCAGACCAGTATGTAGACAGCCTGTCTGATCAATGGTGTACTGCTGAGAAGGAGTCATGCCCTTTTGGCCAGGATACGCCTTGTTGCAGGACATGAAATAGTAGTATGTGTTGTGCCTCAGGGTGCCAACGACCTTCTCGGCCTCTATCCATGCCGCACTAGAGTCGCGGGATAAGATGCCGTCGGCGTGGAATGCGATGCTTTCCGTAGTAGCTAAGTCGCCTGGGGCGCGTACTGCGAGGTCTGTGTCAAGCTTCGGGAGAGCCAAACCGGAGGCGGCGACGCAGTAGGCGAGAAGTTGCAGAAACCTCATTGTAGTTGTTTCCAAAGACACTTGGTATGCTGGAGATGGGATGGTGTTGTTTGACCATACAACAGAGAATTGAAGTTGCAAATGATTTATACGTGAGACATCTTGAGCTAATAGTCTCTCATTCTGCGCAATACCAAAGCTCATGAGATCGAAAGTCCTCATCCTCGGCCATCCCGTAGCCAAGATGTTCATCCCTTTGGTGGTTTTAGACGTCAAAAACCTAGATAAATTCCACCGAAGAGATGCTATCTAAGTTGAAGGCAATTTCCGGATTCGGGAAAGACCCTTAGACAATCAATTCTCACAATGGCCAACACAAATTGATGAAGGAGTTCTAATAAGTGCTATGTTTCTGTTTGAAGCGAGAGATCCCACGAGATGGAGCCACCGCCATTATATTGACTGCATTCTTGGCAACACTTGATAAAGGATTCATGTCACTGAATGACTCGAGTCACAACACAATAAAAGAACAGAGTCGCCGTCCAAGAGCCTCCTGGACGATTCCGTAAGTCAAAGCGTCAACCCGAAAGTCCCGGGTACTTCGGGCGTATGGGTTGCCACGGAGCAATCTGTTCCCGACGGGATGTAAGGAACAGAACAAGGATCAAACCAACGAGAAATTCGCCGAGAATGCAGGCACCTTCACAGCGTTGTATTCCGACATTAATTGCACCTTAACTATTGCCAATCAGCTCGGAATCTCTACGTTATTACCTAAACGGCACGAACACCTCTCTTTCCTAAGTTTTAGAGTGGAAGCTCCACTCATGGAGAGAACATTATTCGCGAGACCGACGGTATTCCTTCCCAATCCTAGAATTCCTAAGTTGCCTCAATCAGGCTGAGCAGACTCTTAACCAGAAAATTGTGTGGACCCCAGAGAATAGTTTTGCCTAGGCATTGAAGTACGAAAGTGAATGGTGATGTTCGACACCGAACGGCCCAGGCACGTACGGCTTTTAGTTATGCACGTATATGTAGCTGACTTGTATCATTGAATTATTATTAGACTACTTTCTTACGTTGTTTCTAGAACAAAATCTCTCGCAGCCTAGTGTGTTCATCAAACCATACTACTATTGAGGGGTATCCATGGTAAGGTAGGCCCCAGCGGCATCCTGCTTGATGCTCACATGGCAAACCCTGGAGTGGGATCATACGACTTCGGTACACAGTACATGGGCGTGTCTCGAGATTGACTTCTTTATTCCAACGGAAGACAAAAATCTCCGGGATTATCGCCAGGAACAGCATGACTCTTTTGGTCATACCTTGGCTCCTCTATTAGCCTTTTCCTCGGGTTCACCACTAAACATCCTGAGTCGGTCGGGATGGATGCGAGAAAGGTAAGCGGACTTTGACGGTTAAATCACTAATCAGGGTTGATCTTGCATGTTTAGGAAAATTAATCGTTATGACGTAGAATTTCATCTACCTCTCTGTTGTCAAGAACGGGTAATGGTATTGTGTTCGACCGCTTCATTGCTTGAGTATGATTTGGGACCAGGTATGTTGCTTGGTAAACGCAAACATTAATAGAACCAAGACCATAAGTAAATGAAACCGAGGGACTGCCA